TATCAACTTTACTAAAAGACAACATTCTGCATTTATTATAAATTAATAACATTTCCAATACACTCCTGGGGGACAAAGACTTCAAAAACCACAACTTAAAACAGTAAGATTTTTGTCCATTGGAAAAAAACATTAAAGACTCTCCAACGTTGTTGGAAGGGGTATAACCACAAATGGCTGTTTGCCTCTGTCTCTGACACTTGTCTCCACGTACAGTGGAGATCAAAGAATGAAAAGCCACTGACCCCAAAGGTAGGCAACTATCCCAAAATATCAATAAGGCCTGTATACCTACAAATTAATGTTAAACTTTGTCTTTAACTGTCTTCTAATATTAATAATTATATTTCTTCTTTAGACTGTTCTCAAACCTTGTATTACATATACAGTCCAACTGTTATTTGTTAAATGTATATAAAATAACTTTTGTGTTATCAACACTACTCTTGTAAGGTTTCTGTTTTGAAATTTAGAAGAAATGCTATGGTAAAAAGAGATGTAATTTTGTTTTGAATTATATTGTTTATATTACAGTTGTCCCAAATTTTTGCCCTTTGGCCCCTCTATCCAGCCCCCACCCCCAGCCCCCTCCAGCAATCCACACACTGTTGTCCATGTCCATGGGTCCCGCATATGTGTTCTTTGGCTACCTCTAATTCCCTGTGCTGTACTTTACATTCCCATGACTACTCTGTAACTACCAGTTTGTACTTCTTAATCCCTTCACCTTTTTTACCCATCCCCTGACTCCCTTCCCATCTGGCAACCACAATCTATGACTGTTTCCATTCTGATTTAAACAAATTTATTATTTACTTTTAGAGAAATGGGAAAGGACAGAAAAAGGGAGAGAAACATCAGTGTCTGAGAGATACATCAAAAGGTTGCCTCTCACACACCCCCAACCAGGGACCTGGCTTACAACCCAGGTATGTGCCCTGACCAGGAATTGAACCGGTGACCCTCTGTTTGCTAGCTGGCACTCAATCCACTGAGCCATACCAGCCAGGGCTCTGTTCTGCTTGTTTGTTTATTTTGTTTTTTAGATTTAATTGTTGGTTGATATGTATTTCCATTTTATTGTTCATATTTTTGTTCTTTTTAAAGAAGACCCTTTAACATTTCATGTAATACAGGTTTGGTGATGATGAACCCCTCTAGCTTTTTCTTATCTGGGAAGGCTCTTTATCTGCCCTTCAGTTCTAAATGATAGCTTTGGTGGGTACAGCAATTTTGGCTGTAGGTCTCTCCTTTTCATGACTTTGAGTATTTTTTGCTAATCCTTTCTAGCCTGAAGTTTCTTTTGAGAAATGAGCCAACAGTCTTATGAGGTTCACTTGTAGATAACTGCTTTTCTCTTGCTGCTTTTAAGATTCTCTTTGTATATAATCTTTGGCATTTGAATTGTGTGTCCTGGAGTGGGTCTCTTTGGGTCTACCTTTTGTGGGACTCCATGCTTCCTGGACTTGTATGTCTATTTCTTTCACCAAGCTAGGGAAGTTTTCTTTCATTACTTTTTCAAATAAGTTTCCAATTTCTCGCTCTTCTCTTTCTGGCATCTTCATGATGCAAATGTTGGTACACTTGAAGTTGTCCCTGAGACTCCTTACACTATCCTCATTTTTTTTGGACTCTTTTTTTCCTTACTCTTCTAATTGGTTGTTCTTTTTTGCCTTCTTATGTTCCAAATTGCTGATTTGATTGTTTGCTTCATCCACTCTGTTGATTCCCTGTAAATTGTTCATTACAATTAATGTATCCTTCATCTCTGACTGCATCTTTTTCCTTGAGCATCCTTATAACTAGTGTTTTGAACTCTGCACCTAGTAGATTGCTTGTCTCTATTCCCCCCCCCCCCCCGCCTTGGGTTGTTTGTCTCCTCATTTCGGTGGCCTCTCTGTTTGATTTTAGGTATTAAGTAGAGCTACTATGCTTCCCAGGTGTGATAAAGTGGCCTAATGTAGTAGGTGTCCGGTGACTCGGCCCCCCCGTTAGTGAAGCTGGGTACTCAAGGTGCACCCACTGTGTGGGCTGTGTACAGCCTCCTGTTGTATGTAGTTGAACTTTGATTGCTGTTGGCACATCCAAGGCCAGCCACCATGTTTCTCCTTGGTCACACAGCATTAGCTACAAAGCAATATGCAGATGGTTGATAGTTGTGCTGGTCTTGGAGGTTCCCAGGAGAGGCTAAGCTGTTACCCACAGCCACCTGCTGCTATTCCAGCACTGGCGCAACTTAGGGAGAGGTACAGGGCTCACTGAAGGCACATGCTGCTTGTTTGAAAGAATTTAGGAAAAACTGAAGCATGAGCCAAGACAAGCCATTTATATGGAAAAGCCACCGGAAAGAGCTTGGGTAGGCCTGAAAGTTGGGTGCGGCAGAGCCTCAGGGAAATCACAAGATTGGGGTAAGTAGTGTGACCCAGGTTGATGGAGTAACAGACATGGTACTCTCTTGCTGGATCTGTGGTGGGAGGGCTCAGGAAAGGAACAGTGGCCTCTGCACTGCCAGCACCGTGGGACAATGTGGACCCCCCCTCCCCCATCTCTCACCATGATGCCAGACAATTCAGTTCTTCCTGGTATGTCTCTGATGCCTTTCAAGCTGCTGCTGCCCCAGTGCTAGAGCTTAGAGAGGGCAAATCTGAGTAAGTCTGTGTGCAGGCCCTTTAAGAGGAACTGCCAGGGATTCCAGCATTTTCTGTCTTCCAAAGCCTCAATCCCTGCTGGTTTTTACAGCCAGAAGTTATGGAGACTTATCTTCCTGGCCTTGGGGGCCTGTTATGGGGCTGGGTCCCCTGGCTCCAGAGATAGCCCTCCAGACTTTTCTCTGCCACATGTGAGTGTGGGAGGGACCAGCCTCTCCTACAAGTTTCTATGTGGTTTCTTCCTTAATTCCATAGTTCTAGGACTTCCATTTAGTTCACTTTATGAGGGTTTTGAATGATTGTTGTTCTGTAGCTTAGCTCTAATTTTGATGTGGTTGTGTGAGGAGGCAAGCTAGGTTTATCTATGCCGCCCCCTTGACTGAGAGCCTGATGTGTATATTTTTAAAGGCTAAAAAAAATAGTTTGTGCTAAATGTGCCTACCCCCAAACCAACAAATGCTACTATTACTTCATATAAAAGCTGAAATGACTATAAAAACATGGCCACCTATAACTGCTGGTGAGGCACAGAAAAATTTGCTTATAATACTCTTCCTGTTATCCTGGCCTCTGAGATCTTTAAATGATAATTGTAATTTAAACCATCGTGTTCTTACAGCCTTGGCCCCAATTAAAATTTAAGGTTATAGCTATCAATTACAGAACTATTGGAAATCAAATAAAAAACTGCACCTGAGTGCTTCCAATAGGCAGTAAATGGGCCATAATAAATAAAATCTCATGATCAAATTATGAAAACTGAGAAGGTGTATGGTGTGCCCGTAAGCTGTAAGTAAATGAAATACTAGATACAAAATACTAAAAAAAAAAAAAAAAAGAAAGAAAGGAAAAAAAAGGAAAAAGAAAAAAAGAAAGAGGCAACAAAATCTGAATCAAGATAACTCATACGTTAGAAATGATCCAGAGTTTTTCTTAATAAAGACCCCTAAGATCTTACTGCCTTCCATTTACCTGCCTTTCACTTTGGAAAAAATTCAGCCAAGGCTTCCACCCAAGGTTGCAGTCTTGCCCCATTCCCAATGGTCATCACTCAACAAGACAAACACTGACACTGAAACTTCCTAGGACTAAGCCTTCCTAGCACGATGGGACCCTGTTACGCAAACAGAGGGTTGGTCATCAGGTAGTCATTCTTTGGATTGATTTATGAGCAAAAGGGATGTGGGGGGAAAAGGAGCCACATACTAAACCTGACAAGCTGAGAGGCGGCCTTTTAAACTCAGAGACCTAGAATAACCCATAGGATGGTCTGAAATTAAAACTTTCTAACTAAAAGCAGCTCATGGTGGGTAGTCATGTCCTGGGCCAGTATTTTTCCCTAATAAAGGTTAGTCTTTACTTTGAGCCTGCTGTCTTTTTGCATCTATGACAACGTACCTTTGGAATGCCCAATTTCTTTATTCTGTGGAATTTCCTTTTTCCAGACCCCTCAAATGATGCCAGCTCATGGCATCAGGGGGACACCAAAAATCCCTTCATTGTTATTGTTATCATGCTAATTATTGACTATTATCTATCCTGTACCCACCTGTGCAAAAGTGTATCATTTAACTTTTTATCCATTAGCAGGTTCCCCCAGCTTGGTTTCCTCCTGCCTCCCTAATCTATCACCAGTGGAATTCATGTAACCCATTTACACTGCCTCTTTTTATTGTAATGTATAAACTAAGGTGCAAAACTGCCATTCTCTGTAGCATTATCTCAACTTGACATTTTGTTTCCCAGCAATTGTCAGTTTAGCTCAGATGAACTAACCAAAAATTCTCTACAGGTTTAAATGTTTCCTACATTGACAATTTCATCCTTGTTTTACTACAGAAAAACAATACTAAAGAAAGAACATAAAGGAATAATATTAAAGAATATAACCCAATGCATGTATTTTACTACTAACAGATTAGAAAATAATTACTCTGAAGTATCTTTAACTGGACACAAATATACAGTTTTATTTTTATACCATTATTATTTGATTCATCTTTCCAATTATTTGAAAACAGAATATATTGATATCTGGATCTTTCATGTAATACAGACAATTACTGAAATATTATGAGGATGATAAAGATTCTAGAATTGAAAGAAACTATTGGGTAGTTACTTAATTTCCCCATGAATAGAAATTAATAAAAATGCATCCAATATTAAGTTGTTCAAATACCCAGACAATTCATGGAAAGATACTACCATTTTATAGAATATATATACATTATCATGGATTTGTTAACTGAAAGTATAGGTATGTGTTAGAAAAAACAAACACATCACTAAAAGACAATAATAAAAGATCCAGAAAATACTACCAAGAAAGTACTACTTAGCAGACTGTACCATTGCTCTTCTCTAAGGCTTGCATTGTGTCAGGGTCCAAGGCAATGCTAACAAGCAATTCCATGTAACTCTTAAAGGTTTCCTTCATTGCTCTTGTGTTCAAAAAACGAGTGACAAAGGGAGCTGGAGGATCAAATTCTGGGAGGGAGAAAAGATGAAATATTAAATATTCCTTCCTGACAACTGTAAAAAACATTTTTCTATAACAAGACCCTATAAGAAGATGAAAGGTTGTAGATAAAATTTCTCAAATTAGGGCTCTCCCACTCTGTCTAAAACCACCCAGGTGAGAAAGTCTCAAAGCTGGTTTGCACATCTTGATCACTGATCACTGTAAAGTTTTTAAAGCAAAGCAAAACAACAAACCCCCGCCCCCGCCCAGATTGTTAAGACTTATTAAAACAGAATCTTTGGTGGGTGGGGTAGGGGGATAGTTGCAATGAGGCTTAAATATTATACTTTACAGGAGGTTCCTAGGTGATGCTGAAGTGTAAACATCAGCCTCAATGGACCCTATTTGTCCACCTTGGGCCCACCACAGACACCAGCTGCTAGGTTGTACCACTCCAGAATGATGGTTTCTCTGTATTTAAGTAATAAAGAATTTGTAAGACATCCAATGGATGAGTTACTAGATATCTCTTTTCACTTCCACATTTATATTGCTATAAAATTCTAGAGTAGGGCCAAGACATATTTAATTTTTTTTAAACATGTAAACAGTCCATGCTTAGAGAAAATTTCACTAAAATTCAATGGCAACAATTGCAAGATAAGTATCTCAATTTTGACTTTTCCCCATTCCAATGTGTAACCACTACCACAGCTTTTAACAGCAGTTCTTAGAGTAAGGTCCAAGAAATTGTTGGGGTCTTCCCCAAGACCCTTTCAGGGATCTCTGATGTCAAAATTGTTTTCATAATATTAAGATGTTATATAGCTTTTTGACTCTGCTGACATTTGGAAACGTTGGGTATAACTGCTGGTGCCTTAATGTGAATTAAGGGAGTGACACCGAACTGTACTAGTAGCCAAATATTTGCCATGACTCTCATCATCTCACTGCTATGAATTTGAAGGGGGAAGAAAAGCCAGTTTCATGTACTAGTCCTTGATAAAGCAGTAAAAATTATTATTTGTATTACACCTTTCCTCTTGAGTAACAACATTAACAGAAATACTCAGTGGAATGAAGTAAGAGGTATATGTAAAGCACTTCTGCTGTCAAGTATGATGGTTATCTCCAGGAAGACCATCCATGCAATTGTTTGAGTCACAAAATTAACTAGACACTTTTCCCCAATGGGACCCAATTTTTATCTTAAAGAATGACTGATAAAGCATGCCTATTCAGATTTGGGTACTTAGCAGACATTTTCTTAAAAATTAATGAAATGAATCTGTTACTTCAAGGAAAACAATGGTATATGTTGCCGATAATAAACTCTGAAATTTTAAGTGAAAATTAGAACTCTGGAAACCTGTCCACCACTGTGACCTCGACAATGTCCCAGTACTTAATGACTTCATCAGTGATGGTATTAATAAATGTTAGTTTTGATACTGTAAACATGTATGACCTAAATGTAAGAGCTAAAACCATAACACTTTTACAAGAAAATATAGTAGTAAATCTTTATGACCTTGGATTTGACAATAGATTCTAAATATGACACAGAAAGCATGAGCAACAGAAAATAATATATTTGGCTTCATTAGAATGTCAAACTTTTGTACATTGAAGAACATTATCAAAACAGTAAAATGTCAACCTACAAAATGGAACAAAATATTTTTAAATCATACACAATCATACCTCGGTACTCGTTGGATTCAGAACTTGTCAAACCCTGTACTCATCATAATTTGACAAGAAAAAAATGTTTCAGCCCTTGGCACTTGCTTGGGACTTACACTTGCTAAAACTTGTATGAGTCACAACACTGCCCGGCAAGAGAAAATGCTTTATCATTTGAACTCATCAGTTTTGGTACTCGTCACAAGTTTTGGAACAAATTAACGATGAGTACTGAGGTACCACTGTATCTAATAAAGGTTTACTATCTAGAATACATGAAAAAAAACCACCTAAAACTCAAGAACAAAAGGAGAAACAACCAAATTAAAAAATGAGCAAAGGATTAGAATAGACATTTCTGCAAAGATAAGCAAGTACCGAAAAGATGCTCAAAATCATTAGTGGTTAAGGAACTACAAATCAAAATGAGATACCACTATCCATAACAAGTGTTGGTGAGGATGTGAGAACATAGGAACTCCCATACATTGCTGGTAGGGATGTAAAATGGTGCAACCATGATAGAAAAAATAGTTTGCTGGTTGCTAACAAGCTAAACATACAACTATCATATGACTCAGCAATTCCACTCCTAGGTATATATACCCCAAAGAATTGAAAACAAAGACACAAAGAGATATCTGTATGTCAGTGTTCAATGCAGCATTATTTACAATAACCAAAGGTGGAAATAATCCAAGTGTCCATCAACAGATAAAAAAAAAACAATGAACATACAGTGTATACACTTACAATATAATAGTATTCAACAATAAAAAGGAATGAAGTTCTTATACATGCTATAACCTTGAAAACATGCTAAGTGAAATAAACCAGATACACTTACATGCGATATTTAGAATAGGCAAATTCATGAAGACAGAAAGTAGATTAGAGATTACCAGCAGCTGGGAGAAGGTGAATTATTGCTTAATAGTTACAAAGATTCTGTTTGGGATGAAGAAAAGTTTTGGAAATAGTTGTGATAGTTGCATAATAATGTAAATTTAATTAATGCTACTTAATTGTACACTTTAAAATGGTTAACATGGCAAATTTTGTTATATTTTACAAATTTTTAAAGTGGGGAAAAAAAACAACAAAAAAAGGCCCTGCGTGAGTGGCTCAATTGGTTGGAGTGCCATCCTGTAGACCAAAAGGTGAGTTTGATCCCATCAGGGCACATGCCTAGGTTATAATGTTCTAATCCCCAGTTGGGGCACATACAGGAGACAATCAATTGATATTTCTCTATCTCTCCCTTCTCTGTCTAAAATCAATAAATATATATCCTTAAGTGAGGATTTTTTAAAATGAAGACCAAAAAAAGAAATAGAATATGTACATCAATGACCAAACAAGTATTTTCATGTGACAAATGAAATGTTATAAAATCATTCATGGATGAAAGATACATTGAAAAGGTAACATAAACCAAGATTTTAATGTAACAAGCAAGAAAAGTTGAAGAAACTACCACTTGTCAAGTTTATCAAGTAAAACACTTTCCTTGAGTAGCAAATAAAAATATCCTTAATTATTTGAGAAGGTGATTAAAATACTCCCTCTCCCAACTATGTATCTATGTAAGGCTGCATTTTCTTCCTATACTTTAACCAAAATAGCTTGTAACAAACAATGCAGAAGCAAGTACGAAATGCTACTCTTCTAAATAATGTTAACTTAGTAACATTATAGTTGTTGAAAAAACTTATGTTAATATCTAATGGGTTTATTTTAAATAAATATTTTTAAAATTTCTATTTAATCAATATTTGGTAAATATCAATTAGTCCACAAAAAGCTTAGAGTTTTGAAATCCTCAATACATTTGAAGATTATAAAGAAGTTCTGAAACAAACAGGTTGGAAACCATCAGTTTATAAATTTATATTTATTATTAATATTTGCTTTTTATAAAAGAAGCACTTATAATGTTTGCCTAACTTTAAGTAACAGTGGTAACTGAAGTTAAAAATGAAAGAGAAATTTTATCATTAAAAAAAAAAAGTAAGAAGAAAAATTTTATCCTGATGGTCCTTCGGAGAATTTAATGTAAGCTCAGAACCCAACCTTCTATATTCTAAACAGCAAGTATGAATGTTAACTGCAAAATTTATTTAAAATGTCTTGCATACATACTCAAAGCACTGAATTTCTTTATAAATTCTGATAAGCACATTTCTAAACAACCATTCCTAAGTAGCTTTTAAAAACAATACATTTTAAATCAACTTCTGCACTGCAGGGTTTTTTTAAAAATATTTTATTTATTTTAGAGAGAAGGAAAGGGAGGGCGAACGAGAGGAAGAGAAACATCGTTGTGTGAGAGAAACATCGATTTGGTTGTCTCTCACAGGCTCGCTTTCAACCAGGGACCTGGCCTGCAACCCAGGCAATTGCCAGGAATCAAACTGGCAGCCTTTTGGTTTGCAGGACAATGTCCAACACACTAAGCCACACCAGTCAGGGCTGAAGAATTTTTGTTATGATTCTATTTCAATTCAAATAATCTCAAGATCAGCTTCCAAGCAACGATACCTGTAATGTCAGAAACCATTCTAGACAAACAGTACCCCCAATATCCAATTCATCATTCAAGTTCAAGCCAAGATTACAAACTGAATTTCTCAAATGCATCCCCTGCTCCCCCCATCCATTCCTGCTACCACATAAGGTTCAGACTTTCAATTTATAAAAGAACTATGATGTTTTGTAATTCAACTTCAAATTTCTCATGTAGTTTTCTACTTAAATCCCTCTAAGGACTTTGCTTACAGGATTCCAAAGCTTTTTAGCTTCAGCATGGCACACAGTTTTCCATCAACCTTTCATCTCTTCCTTCCTACCTTAAACTTTATGCTCTAGAGGAAAGGTCAGCAAACTTTCTCTGTAATTGGCCAGATGGTAAATATTTGAGGCTTTAAGGGTTATATGCTGTCTGTAACAACTAAAACCTGCCACTGTAGGTGGGAAGCATTGTAAGAGAATATGCAAATGGTTCAGTATTCCAATAAAACTGTACTTATAAAATAGACTGCAGAGCCGGTTTGGCTCACTGGCCATAGTTTGCCACCTCTGCTCTAGACTACTGAACCATTTGAAATTTCTTGTGTATATTATACAGTAAGTTTGATGGCTAATGGAAAGTGTACTGATATATTCTTGTGTTTTACAACCACCTCAGATTTTATTTATAATAAAGTAAAATATCTATATCCAGCCTACATAAATGCTCTTCGGTGTCTTCAGGAGTTTTTAAGAATGTACAATTGTTCTAACATAAAAAAAAACTTGGTAATTGTTATCTATTTCATCCTTTTCATGTTACAAAAGTAAGGCACAGGGAGGTAGGTTACTTAGCTTAGCCATGGGCAACCAGATATACATTTATTATTGATAAAAATTCCACATGTGAACATATACATTTTTATATATATTACCATACATAGTTTCAGAGTTGCTGCTTCCTAGGCTTGTTTTACTCTTCTAGCATAAACACAAACTCAGAAGTTTAGAATCAGAGGACTCAGTAAATCATGTGATCTAATCCTCATGCTACTCAAAGAGCTAAAATAACTGGAATTCTAAAGCTAGAACTCATAAATGTCTTCTTTCAGTTTACTGCTTTTTCTATTTCACAAAGCTATATGTGTGAGCAAAATGCTCAGGGAAAGTGAACTTACTTTCGTAAAAGTCTAAGCAGAACTTAATAGGTAGCAAAATCCCCTAAAAGATAAATTCTGAATTTTCAGTATTCCTCCTCCCCATTTATGCAGATAATTTAAGTAACGAAGGTATTCATTTCATGGAGAACTCACCCTCATCATCACTACTAGAATGGATCTCAGGAGATGACTCAGATTGGGACGATGAAAATTCTTCTTTCCATTTCTTCCGTTTCTTTGGTGGTGGCTCAGCCTTTACTTTTAGCTGTTTACCTTTGGGTTTCATGGAAGGGGCTTTTGTAGTTGTAGTTTTTGGTGTTGGAGGATCAGAAGTTTTACTGCTATTACTAGGCTTAGCCTGAACAGTTCTGCAATGTTATAAACAGACTGCATTAACACACTGAAATCTTGTCAAATTAAAATAAATTAGACAAAGGAAAAAAAGAAAAATAGAGGTGGGGATTGGTTGAAAGGTGAAGGGATTAGTCAAACAACATATATGAATGACCTGTGGACATGGACAACTGTGTGGGGATTGACTGCGTGAGTGGGGGGGCGGGCTGGGTAGAGGGGAGAATTGGGAAAAACTGGGACAACTGTAATAGCATAAACAATAAAATATTTAAATTTTTTCAAAAAAGAAAACACTAGAGAAGAATAGTTTAACTACCTCAACAATACCTCCAAAATAAAGTCCAAGTCCTATCATGTTTCCAATGATGATTTCCCCCCAGTTCTCTGGAAATACATTCTTTACCTACCGACATTCAATATTCAATTACTAAGGGACTATTAATTCAATCACTATTTCTGTCTCTCCACCCCCCATCACTTTATGAACTCATTTTCCAGAGTGAGGCTGTGCAACAGATGATCAATGGGCTTTGAGAAGTAATGCATAATAAACCCTCGATAGCTGTATCTGGCTCTGAACATCACAAACTCTCACAGGTGGTGCAGGTTTTGATATGGAGAAGGAGCTGCATCTGTCCTGGAGCCCCTTAAGAAGATTTGCTGTATGCTAATTCTAGAGATTTGAATGGATCACATTCCATTATAAAAATAAGGTGAGCTGTTTCCAATGAGCTGAAATTTTAATTAAACCAGACTTTCAGACAACAGTGTGGTGATTGCTGGGGGAGGGGAGTGTAAGAGAACTAAATGGTAATGGGAAAAGAAAAAAAACAAACAAAAAACAATAAGCCCTGGCTGGTGTGGCTCACTGGACTGAGCGCCAGCCTGTGAACCAAAGGGTTGCTGGTTCCATTCCCAATCAGGGCACATGCCTGGGTTGCAGGCCAGGTCCCCAGTGGGGGCCCGTGAGAGACAACCACGTGTTGATGTTTCTCTCCTCCTCCCTCCCTCATCTCTCTAAAAATAAATGAATAAAATGTTTTTAAGAAATACAATAACGATTAAATTTAAAAAAAAATTTTTTTTAAATAAATAAGTAGTCCTGGCTGGTGTGGCTCAGTGGATTGAGTGCCAGCCTGCAAACCAAAAGGTCACTGGTTCAATTCCGAGTCTAGGGCACATGCCTGGGTTGCGGGCCAAGGTCTGCGGTAGCGGGTATGGGGCACGTGAGAGGGAACCACACACTGATGCTTCTCTCCCTCTCTTTCTCCCTCCTTTCCCTTCTCTCTAAAAATAAATAAATAAAATCTTTAAAATAAATACATAAATAAACTAGATTTTCCTAGCAGTAGATTGAGAATAAGTAGTTCCATTCCCTTTTCCATACAGATAACAGGGCATGTGGCGCGGCCAGTATTCTTGCAGATTCATGCTCCAGACAACTGGGAATTACATTAATATATGATAATAACTATTTTACTCTTGCTTAGTAATATACAGGTCTTATATTTTTTCTCAAAATTTTTATTAATCTGACACCATTAATATTTCCATTCTATGTATAATAAAGGTTATCTGACACTAGGTCACAAAAAGCTGGACTCAAACCTTTTGACTCCAAATTCTTTCTTTTCCTCCTCACTACATGGTGGGGTGGGGAAGGAAGGGTCCCCATCCCACCACAAATAGCCATGAGCTTTACAATTCCTGTCTTGTTACTTCAAAAGGAATCAATTATTACATAGAGCACTGAATTTTTTGACTTGTATATAATGGAAAAAAATCAGTCTTTAATTGATGTAGTTCTTTGTACAAGACATCACCAATAATAAGCCTTCTAATATTACTACACAAATATATTACTTAAGAAAATAAATACCTGATAGTCTGTGAAGGCTTACTTCTTGGCTTTTTGGAACACACTCTGACATACTCCTTTTTGTTTGTGTTTTCAATGAACTTCACATATATCCTTTTGTATTTACTCTTTGCATCTCCAAAATATCCAAGGTACTATGAAAAAAAACCACTTTGAATTACATAATTATACATTCTGTACATAGAATATATTACTTTGTCAGCTTCCTTCATGTTTTTCAAAATGCAGCTCTTGCCAGGCTAATTTCATCCTCAATAAAAACGGTCCTTAACTGCAGGCCCTATACATAGAAGCAATCTCATTTGGCTAATCATCAGATCCTTACTTACTTAATGGTACTAAACAAGTACATAAGCACAAAAGAATAACTTCTGTAAGTCCTCTGGTAAATCAGGGTATTTGACTAGCATAATAATCAACATAAGTCTCTGGAGCCTCTCTAAACTCATCACAGACTAGCACTAATTCCTTTCCTTTATTAGAAAAAAAGTTAAGCAATAGTATAAAGAGACTTAATTTTAAGGAGCTAGTATTTATAAATTTTAGTTTAAAATCAGACCATCAGTATCACATACAGGTACATCTAGTTTTACAGTGCTTCACAGACATACTGTTTTGTTTTTTTTTTTTAATGAATTGAAGGCAAGGCCTTACACCAGCAAAAAGATTGTAACTTGCAGTATTGTGATGGTCTAGAACTGAACCTGCAATATCTCTGAGGTGTGCCTGTACTCTGTCATTCAAATTTTATGCTATTCTATATTAGAAAGACTCACTATAAACTGTTTAAATTTAAGTCATTCTATATTTTCCTCAGGACCACTGTCAAAAAAAAAAGGGGGGGGCTAATATAAACAAGCATTTTGCTTACACTATTTGTAGCAGCAAATTCTCTTTGCCCATCTCGAATTTCAGGAACAAACTTCTGCAATAAAGCTTTTTGTACTTTCCAAATAGCAGGGGGTTCTTTTCCTGTTTTTAAAGCCTCCTGTAATAAGCAGAATTAATTACATTTATAAAAACTAGCAACATATTTCTTGATTTATAGAATCTAAGAGCTAAAGGAAGTCATTAAAAACTTTGTAGCTCAACCTTTTGTCTTTTACCTAGCTGAACTTTTATACTCATTCCTATGAGCTGGCTATTCAATCTCTGCTTAAATTCCCCAAGAAATACATAGCACACCAACATGAAAAGTAGCCCATTACCCTTTTGAATAGCTCCAGAAAAATTTTCCTCTAATGATACTGCATATGTTATTTATGCAATTTTGTAACAGTACATACATATTCAAAAAGACCAGAAACAAATATGCTAAAACATTAACGGCAGTAAACTATGAATAAAAGTAATATAGATATTTGAATTTTATACTTTTTAATGCCATTCCTTTCCACCCCAATTAAAATATAAAATCACAATCAAGCAAACAAGACAAACACAGGTTCTCTCAACCACAGCTAAATTTTCTTGTATGAAATTGTAGTCCTGGTCATGTAGCTCAGTTGGTTAGAATATTGTAGCCTGATGTGCCAAAGTTGGGGGTTCAATCCCTGGTATGGACACATACAACAATCAACAAATGAATGCATACATAAGTGGAGCAACAAATCAATGTTTCTCTCCCTAGAATACATAAAAGTTAGGAAAAAAAAACTGTAACATTCCACTCATGGTTCTATAATTTAAGATTACCAAAATAGATCTAATTCTACTCTTGTATTTTATTCCTGTAACTTTCTTTAAACTATAAAGTTAGAGAAATAGCTATTTTCTCCAAACTCTTATCAATACAATTATTTGGGAGCCTTGAAAAACAATGAACATTTCAGAGCTTCTCTAATCACTAGTACATAAACATACTAACTAGTCAGAAATATAATAAACTCATCTGTAAGTTAAAATTATTTTAAGCTATTTTCTTTTATACAGTATCTGATATCTACTAGTGATTTTATTATTTAATAATTACAACAAAGTATTTGAAAATATAACTTTTTGCAATTCAGGCTAGACATATGCTACTACAGTAATCATGAAGGTTATCTTACTACATTAAAACCTTTATAGTTTACATCACCTTAAAAGTCTCTATGTCTTCTATCTTTAACACAAATTCATCACGTTCTCTGTATTGGCCTTCTCCTCCACTTTCTGTGTTCTCATCATCTGTAAAACCTTCTATGGCGACAGTGTCTTGTCCTTTTGCACACTGGTTTGAAGGAAGACCATCAAGTTCAATGGGTTTTGGGAGTTCTGTAGAGCTTTTATTTTCCAAGATATTTACTGCACACGAAGTTGTACCCACAGTGGTGGAGGAAGTAGTAGCAGTACCAGTAGTATTGGCAATTAGGCTAGTAGTTGCCACTTGTAGGGCTTCTGAAACTAGATCAAGCAAATGCAAATAAATAATACAAATAATTAAACACTGATTTGTTTTGAGTAAAACCCTAACAGGAGAAAAAGAAACACAATTATTTTTGCCATCAAATTATTTGAAACACTCTAAACTGCAGTAAGAAATTAAAGAATGGTTGTTAATTTTCAATAATCAAAGTGGAGAGAATCACAAACTGAGAACCTACACTGACCATAAGTCCCCTTAGGTAACACAAAGATATTTTTTAAAAAGACATACAAAAGCAATGCAAGATAAGGGTCATCTGACCAAAGCTGTGAAAAATTCCTAGAAGCAGAATGGATGTGGAAAGAGAAACAACACCCCCAAAATATTTTTGTATTAGTACTAGAAGCTATAGAAATAAAAAGGATTATAAAGTAGTAACATGAAAATTGTATCCTAACAAATAACTTAGTTGAAATGGACAAATTTCCTAAAAAGACACAAACTAATGAAATGGACTCAAGAAGAACCAGAATGTCTGAATAGATCAGCAATTTTCAACTGGTGTGCAGCAAGAATTTTTAAAACATGCAATACCTGATTCTTCAGTCAGGGGCACTTTTCTCTTAGATTGTAAAATAAAAAAATGGTAACAGCCAACACAACAATAGCCATCCAGCATGAAGGAATCAAAATTATACCTATTTTTTGTCAAACCTGCAAAAACTGTATTTTTTAGTATGATGCAGATTTTTACTAATTAGTTCATGTGTGCCGTGAGATGCAAAAGATTGAAAATTGCTAAAATAGACCAGTAACAAGTGAATAAAATAAATTTAAAAACATCGCACAAAGATAAGCACAGGCCAAAATGGGTTCAGAGATGGGTTTTTCCAACAGTTTAGTAAGACTACCAATCCATCAGAAACTCCAAAAAACAGGGGGAAATACTTCCAAACTCATTTTATGAGACTAGTATTATTCTAATAGCTAAACCACACAAAAACATTGTGAAAAAACTGTAGACCAGTATCCCTTATGAATGTAAACACAAAAATATTCAAGAAAATATGAGAAAATCCACCAACATGTAAAAGAATTACCCAAATGGGTTTTATTCTAGGAATGCATGCTTAGAGATCTCAGTGGGCAAAGAAAAAAGCATTTGGTAAAATTCAACATCATGAATAAACACTTTCATGGTAAAAAACACTCAGCAACCTAAAAATAGAAGGGAAATTCTTCAGTTTGATAAAAGGCATCTCTCTACAAAAAACCCATAGTTAACATCACAGTTAATGGTAAAAATCTTAGATGTGCCTCCTAAGAAGGATGTTTGAAGAAATACAACTACCTTGTTTTATTGGGGTTTTTTTTGTGCTCCCCAGATACTGCATTTTTACAAATTGAAGGCTTATGGCAACCCTGAGTCAAACAAGGCTATCAGCACCATTTTTCCAACAGCATTTTCTCTTTTCATGTCTCTGTATCTTGTACTTCTCCCAAAATGTCAAACTTTTTAATTCTTTTTTCTCTCTCATGTCAAAAGCCAAGATAGTCTGAAAACTAGGCCTCTTATACCAAGCGGTAGTGAATGCTAAAGGAAAATTCTCAAAGGAAAATTTAAAAGTGCTACTCTAGTAAACACACAAACGATGATAAAGCAAAACAGCCTTACTGCTGATAGGAAGACAATTTTAGTGGTTTGGGTAGAAAATCATACCAGCCACAACATTCCCTTAAGCTAAAACTTAACCTCAATAAAACAAATCCTAACTCTCTTCCTTCAGTTCTATGAAGGACAAGGGATGTGAGGAAGCTGGAAAAGTTTGAAGCTACCAAAGGTTGGTTCATGATGTTTTAAGGAAACAAATCTCTGTAACATAAAAATGCAAGGTGAAGCAACAAGTGCTGATACAGAAGCTGCAGCAAGTTATCTGGAAGATACAGCTAAGATAATTAATGAAGGTGACTTCACTGAACAATAGATTTTCAATGTAGATGAAACAGCCTTCTATTGGAAGATGCCGCCATCTAGGACTTCTGGAGAGGAAAAGTTAATGCCGGTCTTCAAATCTTCAAAGGACAGGCTGACCCTCTTGTTAAAGGCTAATGCACGCGATGACTGTAAGTTGAAGCCAATGCTTCAATTTACCATTCTGGAAATCCTAGGGCTCTTAAGAATCATGCTAAACCTACTCTGTCTGTGCTCTATAAATGGAACCACAAAGGCTGGATGACAGCGTATCTGTTTACAACATGGTTACTGAATATTTTAAGCCCACTGTTGAGACCTACAGCTCAGAAGATTTTCTCCCTCCCTTCCCCTCTCTCTAAAAATAAACAAAATCTTTATTAAAAAAAATCATGATTTGTGGGAACAGGTCAAAATATCAACATTATCAGGATTTTGTGAAAGTTGACTCCAGCCTTTGTGGATGACTTTCAGGTTAGTCTTCCGTGGAGGAAGTAACTGCAGGTATGGTCCAAATATCAACAGATTAGAAGATGGAACTGAATTGCTACAATCTCATGATTCAACTTTAACAGTGAGGAGTGCTTCTTTCAGATGAGGTTATGGAAGAGACAATAAAAGACTTAGAATCTATTATATAAACTTAGTTGATAAGGCAATGGCAGGGTTTGAGAAGACTGACTCCAATTTTAAAAGAAGTTCTGTGGACAAAATGCTATCAGACAGCATCACATGATACAGAGAAACTGTAAAAGAAGAGTCAACGCAGCATTTTTTTAAAGCAATTAAGTACATTTTAATTAAGATATATACTTTTTTTGATATAATGCTACTGTAAACTCAATAGACTACAGTATAGTATAAATATAATTTTTATATGTACTGAGAAACCAAAAAATTCATGTGACTTGTTCTATTTTGAAATTTGCTTTACTTTGATGGTTTGGAACTGAACCAGCAATATCTCTGAGGGATGGTTGTATTTGCAGATGACATGATCTTTCACCTACAAATCCTTAAGATTCCACTAAAAAAACCATTAGAATTAATAAGTTCAGGAACTTTGCAGGGTACAAGATCAATATATAAATACCGATTGTGTTTCTATATACTTGCAATGAACCATCCAAAAGTGAATTTAGGAACACAATTCCATTTATAATAGCATCAAAAAGAAAACATTTAGAAATAAATTTAACAGAAGAAGTGCAAAGTTTACACTCTGAAAACTATAAACATTGTTGAAAGAATTACAAGTCTAAGTAAGTGGGAAAATGTCCCATGTTGATGTATCAAAAGACAACATTGTACAGATGGCAATACTCCCCAAAGTAAGCTACGGAATCAGCAGAGTAGGTAAAGCTAGGAATGAAACAGGACTGACCCTGTACTGATGATTACTAAAATAGTGATGCATAAATTGGTCTAATTATACCAATCTTTGTACTTTTGCTTATATTTGAAAATTTACATAATTAAAAGTACTTTTTAAAAAATGTTTAATTTCCAAATTCGTAAAGGAGAAAAATACATCAGTACTGTATGATAAGTTTTAAAACAAGCCAAAACAAAAGCATAGAGTTTAAGGATGCAAACACAGGTAGTAAAATTATACAAGAAAAAGCAAGGAAGTAATTACCATCCAACTCAGATAGTGGTTAATTCTAGAAGTTATGAGTTGAGGTTTATTTAATACTCACTTTATTTTTGTCCTTTTTTGCTTTCTGATTAATAGCATTTAATATCATAAATTTCCTTCTTTGACCTACTCTCTTGGCACATCACATTAGTTTTAAAATATAATGTTCCACTGTCCTGAGTGTTTGTCACTTCAACTGTGGTTTCCTTTATAAGCCAAGTCATTTAGAAATTATAACAAGTTATTCAGAACTTTTAAAATAAAAACTTGTCTTTATTTCTTTATACCTTTACTTTTTCTTTCAGATATTCTTTAATGAAATTACTGTATTGTGGTCAGGGAATATGGCTTAAATAATGTCTGCATTTTCAAATTTATGGGAAAAATTTTTTAAGCTGGAGAAATTTTTGTGTTTTTATGTGTTACAGTTCCACATGTAAGTTTTATTTCATTAAAAAAAGTGTTCTGAAAAGACATAACACAGATATGGGAAAACTGACTAAATATACCAATAATTAACAATAAAATTAGTATGCAATATTAAAAAGAGATGTGGGAAATTAAATGGGAAAAAGATTTTATTATAAAAGAAAATTACCTTTAGTAAAATTTTATGCACCTGATTATATATGTTCAAAACATATCAAGTAAACAGTATTAGATAAATAATGAAACATAGTTGGAAACTTTAACACACCTTTTCCAGGAATCAACAGATCAAGCAATCTAAAAACAAATAAGGACAGGGAGGATTTTAAAAAACTTCATTATTATTAAAAATTTCAAATAAACACAAAAGTAGAGAATACAACCCTCATGTACCATAATCCAGCATTAACCACAAACACATTGGTATACTTTTTTCATCTATCCATCCAATACCCCTTTTATATTTGCTGGAATACTTTAAGGCAAATTCTAGACCTGTCCATTTAACTCCAACATATATACATACATTTTCTTATATAACCTAATATCATTTATTACATCAAACAAAACATAAAAAGATATAAAGGATTTAAATAATATTATCAAGTAAAACTTATTATCACTTGGAATTTATAAAAACTGACTTTTTATCAAGCTAATAAAATTTCCATACATTTAAAAATGCAGACATTATTTAAGCCATATTCCCTTGACAATACAAGGCCACAAATTAGTAATAAAGGAATACCAACAGCAATAACAAACACCAAAACCTACTAGGAAACAGGCAAAAAACCCATTGTTTTTAGTAACTTTTGGATTAAAAAAGAAATGAAAACTGTAATGACAAGCCATTTAAAAAGGACAGTGAGAGCATTACAAATTGAAACCAGAGGGGTAGAGACAGTATGGTACAAAAAAGGATACTCACACTTTAATGCCATTAGTTAGAAAGCAAGCAAATACAAAAATTAAGCAATAAACTCAATAAGTCAAAGAGAGATTATTAAATTGAACCAATGGAAGATTGGGAAAAGAACTGATAAAAGCAGAAATTAAGAAAAAATAAGTAAAAAATGGTAACAGGAGCAAGAAAAAGGAAGGACATTGGTTCCCTGAAAAGAATCATTTAATAGGCAAACTTTTCACAGAATGATCAACAAAAAGATTCAAGAAATCATTTAGAGCAAGGAAGATCATAACTACAGAAATAGAGGATACAAAAATTTACAAGGGAATACTATGTATAATTTTATAACAACTTTAAAATTAAGTGAAAGAGATGATTTTACTAGAAAATATACCGTTCTTAAATTGACCCAGATAGATCAAACTACCCCGGGAAAACATTGCAAAGTCTCTGATATATTCTTAGAAAGTTTAACCAAACCCCTATAATATGTGGTAAACTTCTTCAATTTAAAACATCAGAATATTCTGCCCTGGCTTTTGTGGCTCAGTGGACTGAGTGCTGGCCAGCAAACCAAAGGGTCACTGGTTTGATTCCCAGTTAGGCAGCACATGCCTGGGTTTCAGGCCAGGTCCCAAGTGGGGCGCAAGGGGCAACCACACATTGATGTTTCTCTCCCTCTTTCTCCCTCCCTTCCCCTCTCTCTAAAAATAAATAAATAAAATCTTTAAAAAACAATTCAGAATATTCCTGAATACAAACAAAAATAAAACTAAACAAACCTAGCAGTAGCTACTCTCATTTTTGAATCTAGAAAATGATTCTAGAAATGATTTGAATCTTGAATTCTAGGTGTAAAAATCCCAAATAAAAAAACTTTAAATCTTGCAATGGGTTAAAATAATGCATCATAACCAAGGAGAGTAAGTAGAATTTTTTTTTTAAAGGTTCAGCATTAGGAAATCAACTGAATTTATAGTTAAAAACTTTTCTGACAAAAAAAAACTCCGAGTCTAGAAGGTTTCACTAGCAAATTCAACCAAACATTTGTGGAGGAAATACTACCACCAAATCTTTTACAGAAAATACAAAAGAAGGGAACACTCCCTAACTTATTTTTGAAATCAGCAATAACAAGATACCAAAACCAGACAAAAACACTACAAAAAGAAAACTACATGCTAATATCCATTGTAAACACAGATGCAAAAGATTTAGAAAACTGATTCCATCCATGTATAAAAAAAAGATAATATATCAAAGTCAGTGGAGTTTATCCTGGGAGTGCAAGGCCACACATATTTTTCAAAATCAATGTAATTCACCATATTTACAGACTAAATAAGAAAATCATAATCATTTCAACAAAGAAAAAGCATTTGACAAAATTCAACCTCCATTCATTATAAAAACTGTCAGCAAATTAAGAAATGTAAGGCTTCTTTTACCTACACTTAACATCATACTTGATGGTGAGACTGACATCTTTCCCTCAAAGATCAACAACATGATCAGGATGTACAAACTCACCATTCTCATTAAACATTCTATAGGAAACCCTAGCCTGTGTATTAACACAGGAATGAAAAAAGCATGAGACTGGAAAAGGAGAAATAAAATTATATTTGCAAATGACATCATTTTCTACATAAAAAAATCCTATGGACTCAAAAAAAATCCTAGAATAAACGAGTTGTGCAGATTCGCAGGATTTAAAAACTCAACATATAAAAATCAACTCTATATTTATAATCTAACAATGAATACTTGGAATTTGAAAACTTTAAAAAGTATAATTTATAATAAATAGCACCCCTAAAATATTCCAGAATATACCTAACAAAGCATGTGCAGGATCTATATGCCAAAAACTACAAAAAAGACTAGTGAAAGAAATGAAAGATGTTTATAAATTGTTAAGACTCAATATACTGTTTTTTAAAAAAAAGATTTTATTTACTTATTTTTAGAGAGAGGGGAAGGGAGGGAGAAAGAGAGGGACAGAAACATGGATGTAAAGTGAAACACTGATCAGTTGCCTCTCTCATGCCCCGAACTGGGAAACTGGCTTGCAACCCAGGCATGTGCCCTGACCAGGAATCAAATGGGAAATCGAACAGGCCACCTTTCAGTTTGCGGGTAAGACTCAATATATTGTTGACGGTTCAATTTTCTTCAAATTGCTATAGATTCAAGGAAATCAAAGTCAAAATCCCAGCAGGAGTTTCTGCAGATGCCAACATGTGATTAGAAAATTTATATGAAAAAGGAAAGGAATTAAAAATAGGCAAAACAATTCTGAAAAAGACAAATGTGGAAAATTCACACTGCCTTCTTTCAAGACTTACCGTAAAACTACAGCAATTAATAGTATGGTATCGGTGAAAGCATACACACATAGATCAACGTAACAGAACTGAGTCCCAAAAGAGATTCATATAAACATGATCAATTGATTTTCACAAAGGTGCAAAGGCAAGGCAATCAAAGAGAAAGGATTATCTTTTCAACAAATGGTACTGGAAAAGCTTCTATACATTAAAAAAAAGTAGCTTCAACTCATACCTCATATCTTATACAAAAATAAAATCAAAAGGGATCATGGGTCTAAATGTAAAATGCAAAACTTTCAAACTTCTAGAAGAAAACAGAATATTTTTCTGACCATGAGTTAGGCAAAAAGCATAAATCATAAAAGGAAAAAAAAGGATAAATTAAACCTCCTTACAGTTTAAAACTTCTACCCTTCAGAAACATTTAAGGGCTGTGGAAGTTTAGAGGACATGAGCACTAATTCTGTTTGGATTAACTGTCACAAAGTGACTTTGAAGATGGTCTTCAAAGATAACTAAGTGTCTGCTGGGTTAAAAAATGGAGAGAGAAGTAAGAAAAACCTGTCCAAAGACTCACAATTGTGAAGGAGCTCATAGGTCCAAAGGACAATGAGAAACTCAGTTGTCACAGAAGAGGGAAAGTGGAAAGAGTAATAAATGGAAAAGGAGAATTTTAACATATTATTTCTCTTTCTTCCCATTAAACACCAAGAAGTATTTCAAAGTAGAGAAATAACAGTTTTTCTTTTCTATAAAGATACATCTGATGATAATGTAGTGGATGGACTGCAATAGAGACTGATGGAAAGAATTCTAATGAGAAGTTAATGATTAGTTGCAATAATCCCAGCAAGAGATGAGTTCCTGCAGATGAGGTAGCAATGGGGATACTAAAGAAAATTTCAAAGACCTTGTAATAGTACAGACTGGGTTGATTTTAACTACAAATAAGAAAAGTTATCTGAAAGAATCTATTTTTAAGACACATTTTAGAACAGAAATTACGAAAGCTTTGTTCTAGGAATGTAAGAGAATATTGTAATAGTAATTGCAAAGCACTCTGAATTGGGGTAGAGGAGTGTAAAATCTTACTAGGATTAGCCACATCCATAAATGTCTTAGTCACACTGACCTTCTATTCTGCTAATTTCCCTGTATAACAAAATAGGAATTCTTTAAAAATATACTAGGAGATAGTTACATATATTTGGGATATCATTTGTTTCATGTCACTTTAGTAGTTAAGGGTATTATCAAGTCCAGAAAGAAGCTAAGAAGTATATCACAAAACAAGGTTTACCTCTTAAAGCACCACTCTATTTATACAAAAGAGCTAGGCAGAATAGCCTCTAGAACCATGCAAACTTGAGTTCAGATTCCAGCTCTGCCACTTACTAGCTGTATGGACCTCGGCAATTCATTTACTGTTGTATCATCTGTGTATTGGGAGTAACAATACATATCTCCCCACCACTGCTCCTAGTTACTGGCATAGAGGTGGTAGCTATTTTATCATTTTAAATTTTTCCTTTGCATATTCCTTAACATAGTAACATTTATACTCAGCAATTATTTACATAAGGCAGTGCATTATAAAATAGTTCCTCTAAATGTCCCCTTAACTACAGAGTAAAGTGAAACACATACCCAAAGATGTGGACATATGGTCTGAAGCCAGAGGAGAATTTTATATTAATGTGTATGCTGCACACAATATAACCATATTTAATAGTAAAATGTTAATCTTCAGGTAAAATTGGCATACCAAGAAAATATGCCAGTTTATACTACAACAAAGCCCTCATACAATGCCTCATATCCATAAGCTATTCAAAATGTGTGTCTCAGATTAGACAAGTCTTGATAGCATACCATGTTGTTAGGCTGTGTGTGGAAAAAGCCAAGATAAAAACAGAACTACTCAACGTAAAACCCAGACCTTTTCCACAGGCAAGGAACACTAGAAAAAGTCAGTCAATCTCCTAAGATACCTACCTATGCATTTTTTGTCCTGAAAATTTATTTGCAGACCTGCTTCAAATGAAGAAAGCTTAAAACCCGATCTTACAGCCATAAAATAGTGGAAAGTCATATTTATGAATCTAAATTTTAAAACTTTACCTGTTTTCTTTTTTTTATCAGATGTAGCATCCAAAGTAGTTAAGGTAGTAGAGGTGCTTTTATAAATATCATGACTGCATACTCCAGGATCATCTTCATCAGAAGAAAATGAAGATAAATGTTCTAAGTTTTTGGGTTCCCTAACTTTTTCTGATGGACTGTTAGCCCCAGTTTCAGACACTAACGGTGTGGGTGTTGTAGATGAAGCCTTTGGAAATGGTGGAGGACAAAATGTACGAACAATCTGGGTCCCTGGTCGTCTAGTCCTGTTAGGCATTCGTACAGCAAGAGTGGAAAACTGCTGCTTGGGCCCAGATTTCAGAAAATCTAAGAAAGAGGCAATAAATCCTGTTTTGACTTCTGGCTGTTTTTCCTCTACTTCTTTGATCTTCTGTCTCATTTTTTCTTGATGCTGATAAACATCATGGCAGCCTTCAGAGGGAGGAGGAGTATATGGCAAATACATATCTGTTCCCCTCGAGTTCTGGCGTTTCCCTTGGGCAGGTCTTTTCACCTGTTTCTGATTACTATTGTCTTCCTCTTTAGTTTGCCCTTTCCCTTTAGGTTTCTTCTTCTGAAGATTAAAATGCATTAAATCTTGGTGTTCTTCTTCAATCTTGACACTGATTGCCTCCCCAGGTTGGGCCATGGCCAACAGTGCAAGTGCACTCCTAGTCGGGTTCACTGACACACCACTGTCATCCCCTGCTAAGGTGAATTCACTCTCTGATGTAGCACTTTCTCCACTTATACTTCTACTACTAGAAACAAACTCTTGGTTTCTATTATTATTTAATGAACTATCAACAGGAACTTCACAATCATCTTCAGATTCGTGATTGGTAACAGATTGTTTCTTGAATGGGCCAGAACTTTGTTCCTGTACCTCATGATTTGGTCCAGCCACTGGTGAAGTTAGTTTCGATGGTTTATTTTGACCAGGTGTTTCAATGTGCTGTTGATCAAGAGTCATTTTTGACTGAAGGGTAGGTACTGGTGAAACGTTTACTGTAACTTGACTTCCATTCAGGGAAATATTTAAATTCTGTGGCTTTCCTACTGTAGCTGTTAGAGAATTAAAATCTGAACTCACATGCCCGACATCTAATGACTGCTGAAAATGAGATTTAGAATCACCATTTTCAATAACCGGAATGTTTTCATTTGAAGTTGACTTGGAAAAATCAGAAGGTGTCACCCCACAAGCTGCAGCTGTAGCTGCTAAGATATCATCTACATTTGATAAGATATTTCTTTCATCACTGAGAAGCATTGCTTCTGGGAAACATATTGATCCAAGGGAAACAAAGTGATTCTTTGAATCATGTTGATTTGTTTCACTAAAGTGGCCCTTTGTCGTTAGATGTTGTTGTAAAGGCTTTGAAGACTCAGAGAGATCCATTTTCATAATTTCAGGATTTTGAGTATGGAGTTGCTGCTGAGAATGATCACCATTGCTCTGAATAATAGAACCATCAATTTGAAGAAAAGGATGTACTATTTGTTGGGGACTTGGAACACGCTGTACTTGTAAAGATGCCTTTACTTGTCCTAAACCTGCCTGAAGCATTGACTGTTGAAGAATTTGTAAATCACAGGCAGAATCTAGAAGGATCTGTGTATTAGGAAGAGATGCCTGATGGCCATGCCCTAAAGCATGATTTGGAATTTGAATCTGAGATGAGGCATTAATAATTTGATCATGCTGCTCCTGAACCTTAGCTTCATGAACCTTATGTATAAGAGAGTGCTGCTGGTTTAGGTCTTTAGTATTCAACCTTATTTGTGGAGTTTGCATTAAATCAGTTGCCTTCTTAATGTCAAGGGTTGCTGCATTGTTGACTTGGCCAATTTGTTGGTTAAGTTGTGTCACTGACCCAACCATACTTTCTTCTTTTTTTGAACCCTGCAGAGCAATCCCAACAACTTGGTCTTCAAGATGGGAATTACTTCTGATTACACTCTGAGGATATCTGTCATCTGCTTTTGACACCTTGTAAGCTGGTTCTTGAACATTAATTTCCCCATCAGATAGCCTTTGGGTTGATGACTCAACAGATACCTGTGGCTGTAATACCTGTAACTCTTGCATTGGAAAATCATCTTCTTGCTTTGAAGATGTATACACATTCGAGTCAAGTTTTCTTTCAGCATAAGATTTTGGATCAGGGGAAGGTACGTTATTTTGTAATGTCTGACAGTGAGTAGGAGATGTAAAAGATGATTGGACAGCAGGCAAAAACTTTTGGGACTGGGGAGATGATGACCCTTGAGCCTGAGCATTTTGGGAAGAATGCATAGAAATATAATTCTGGGTTGTGCTAGAATCTGGCAAACTCTGAGCTCGAGAGGTGGAAGAATAAGAAAGAGAAGGAGCTGTTAATGTTAGGGACTGCCCTGACGCATAGCTTTCTGAAGGACTAACAACTGACAAAACTTGTGATTGAGATGAATAATTAACCTGTGTCTGGCTAACTGGGGACAAACCCTGAGAATGACCAGATGAGTAACTTTGAGACTGGCTAACTGAAGACAGATCTCTTGTTTGAGCAGGGTAATTCTCATTTGTAACTGAAGATAATACCTCTTGCTGATTAGAAGAATAATTAAGTGTCTGATTTTCAGAAGTTATAGTCTGAGATGAGCCAGAAAAAGTCAATGTTTTATATAAGGGTGGCAGCTTTTCAACCTTGCTGGACCTATAAACCTGTGAATGAACAATAGATGGCACATTATGTGGCTGTACTAAACCATAATTTTGGGATTGACTAACTGATAAAAGGCTTGGTAGTTGCGCTGTAGAATAAATTTGTGCTTGGCCTGATATTACAGAACTCTGGTTGTGTAAAGGTTTGGAATAGCTTAGTGTTTGCACAGGAGGAATTACACTTTGAGGTTTTGGGGTTTTAGTTGATGTGAGTGGTTGTTTCGTAGAACAGCTTTTTATTTTTGTAGTGGAAGGAGGATACCCTGATGATGGAATTGCAGATGAATAAGACTGAGCAAGTTCCACTGAGACCTGGGAGGTCTTCTGCTGCAATTCTCCATTGCTCACCTGAGTGGACTCTCCAATTGGGCTACAGGATAAAGATGACTGCCTGCTTGTTTCCTGAAAATTAACTACACTTGCGTTTGATAGATACGTATGTAAGGAATGCTGTGAACCAGTCAGTTGTGTCTGAACAGACTGGGTACCTGAAGGCCGCTGATGGTGTTTAATAACACTACATTCTCGAAGAAGAGCTCTTTCAATGGAAGCTGTAGAATTAGTAAATAGAGTTGAACTGTAGGCTTGAGGAGTTTGCTGGGTTCCCCCAAGTGGTGAAGGCAACAAACTGAACTGAGGTTGTAAAAGATGTGGTGCAGACTCTTGAGCTGAGCGATACGTTGAGGACTGAGGTGGTATGCTGTTACTTAATACAGAACTGCCAAGGCGCTCAAATGCCAAAGCAGTTGGAACAGTTCCCTGGGAAGTTTTGATTTGTAGCAAAGGGTCATGAGGATTTAAAATCCCGTTGGATGTAGTGTTAAAAGTTGAATCCTGAAGCACCAAAGGTGAGGTGGTGGCGAAGTTCCTATTGCTGAAGGTGGTGGGATGCTGATAAGCAGAGAGGGCAGAAGGTGGAAGTGTTCCAGTGGTTGGCAAAGATCCAGTAACAAACAGCTCAGCTGCTGCTGAGGAATGCATACCTATGAAGAGAAAATATGAAAGTATTTATGCAATTACAGCACCAGTACTTACATAACCTTCAACCCATCAGAACTTCTGCAAGACAAATTCTACATATAAATTATGAAAATTAAATTTCAAAATACCTAGCTTTCTTAAAGCAAAAACAAAGTTACAGGTATCAATGATTCATACCTATAATTGTTACATAAAAATGAGTTTATATATAGTTAGACAAGGCCAATTAAGAAACCAGTAAAAATGTGCATAATCTCTAGTGATTAATTTACCCAATGCAAAACACCAATGGAGAAACTAAAATATTCAAACATTAAAATGGAAACTAAATTGCCTACATTTACTATGATAAACAAATCTCACAATTAACAGAAGGTTAATGCTGAAAAGTTTTTTTTTATCAAAATATATGCACTTAAAAAATCTCTTGCATTTCAAGTTCTGACTTCCTATGAACAACTTCCAGCAGCAATAGATGCATGTTTATCATAAAAGGCTAATCAGAAATTAATAAAGTATTGTCAAGAAGAAACTGCTAACATTTCAGGACAGCATTCTAGCCAAATACAGCTAAAGTAAAAAAGTGTATACCCTTGTGATCCAAAAGTTCCACTTCTAGAAATTTAACTATGGCAATGCGAGGGAGGCAAAAACAAACAAACCAACCCTAGAATTAACTTTTAGAAGGCAGGCCAGGCTCCTTGTAGTACAGGCTTTCCCCTCTAGGTGAGTGTTCTAGGAACCCATCTGTATCAGGGTACCAACTTGCATTGTTGTGAGAGGCCCCATTTGGCTTCAGTGAATTTTTTTGAAGACTCAACACTTTTGCACATTTCATGATGGGGAATTTACCAGCACACCTGCCCACACTGCACTGAGCATTTAAGCAGTTTTTGATCAAAAAGAGAATGATTCTCATCCCGCCCTCTCTATTCACCCCATCTCACTTTGAGTTTCCCCGGATGAAAAAGGTCCTCAAAGGGAAACGTTTTGATGTGGAAGATGCGAAACAAAAAAACAACAGAAGCACTAAAAGGCATCAAAATCAATGCGTGCAAAAACTGTTTTGAGCAGTGGAAAAAAATGTCTCGATAGGTGTATTGCATCAAACGGAGAGTATTTTGAAGGTGACTGAAGTTTAAACATGTAAGAATACACAATATTTTACAAATAAATTCTGCATTTTTGGGGCCCTCCCTCATAAGTGGACGCAAAGACATCTGCACAAGATATTCACTACAGTTATTGTATATTAAGTGGAAACAACCTAAATGTCCATCAACAGAAGACTGACCAAGTAATGATGGCATATCCTAATAATACTGTTGCTATGAAAATTAATTAGGTAGATACAAAGATATCAAAAGAAAGTAAGTACCAAACTGTTACATCTTCTCTAAAAAAGTGGGACTGTTGTCAGAAATGATCACTTTCCATTTTATACACCCTTGTATTTACATGCTTTCTAGTGAGCTTCCATGTAAAAAAATTTTTCACTTTGGAAAAATGGGGGAAAACAGATTCTCTAGTTCTTTCAAAACATACTTTTCTCACTTCTTTCCATTAAATGTCAAAAAAGTTTTACTACTACAAGGATAGAAAATATCCAGTTACATTTAAAAGAATAAATAACACGTATAATTAATGGTTAAAAAAATGTAACCAGGAACTAGAATAGAAAGTCTGAGTATGTGGAATATAAAATTAGGCCAAAAGGCAAAAGATGAAGCTATTGTGTTCTTTAATATTGTTTTATTTCACACTAAAACATTAATTATCTCCTTGGAAGCAGAAGAAAATTGCTTAGGCATACTGAGAAAGCTCTATGAATAGAATTTGTATCAGAATGATAAAATATTTCCTATAGCTATCATTTACAAGTATCTTCTCAAATATGCTATGACATTTCTTATTCTTTAAAATAAAACCTTAAAAATGAACCTTCCTGTCATCCTGCAAAAAATAAAAATACAAATTGTGGGTGGTAAAAAATTGAAAAATAAAATTAAAAATGCATATAAATGAGTACAACACAGGGTGGGGCAAAAGTAAGTTTATAGTTGTGATTATGTGAAACAGTGTGTTCTTGTATTATTATTTATTAATTACCATACTATATTCCATATGAACTGAAACCTACTTTTGCCCCACTCTGTATAATATCAACTTGTTATGACTTTTATTAAATAGTGAGTCAATCTTTTCAATTAAGGATCAGTTTACATAACTTTAATGATGAGATCAGTCCACTATTGTTGACTGTACCACCTACCTACCCTGCAGTCACTAAAATAAGAGAAATTTAATCTTTCATACACACACACACAAAAACCCCCACAAAACTCAAAAAAATACATATGTGATGGATGTGTAAATTAACTAGATGGGGAAATTCTTTCACAATGTAAATGTATATTAAGTCATCACAAGGTATACTTAAAATATCTTACAATTTTATAGTCAATAAAGCTGAAGTGGAAAAAAAATTAAGTTAATCTTTACTCCTTTCAAGTATACAAGAACTACAGTTGGCCCTTAAACAACACAAGTTTGAAGTGCATGGGTTCACTTATATGAGATTTTTTTTAAAAAAAAGATTTTATTTATTTCTAGGGAGAGGGGAAGGGAGGGAGAAGAGGGAGAGAAACATGGATGTGTGAGAGATACATAGATCGGTTGCCTCTCGCACACCCCCAACTGGGGACCTGGCCTGAAACCCAGGCATGTGCCCTGACTGGAAATTGAACTGGTGACCCTTAGGTTTGCAGGCCAGCACTCAATCCACTGAGTCACTTCAGCCAGGGCTATATGAGAATTTTTACAGTAAATACTATTAAGGTTTTTTCTCTTATGATTTTTCTTGATAACATTTTCTTGAGCTTACTTTAAGGATACAGTACATATTTGTAACATATAAAATGTGTTAATTGACTACGTTATTGGTAAGGCTTCCAGTCAATAGTAGGCTAAGTAGTTAAGTTTTAGGGGGAGTCAAAAGTCATATACAACACAGGGAATATAGTCAATATTGTTATAACGCTGTATGCTACCAGGTGAGCACTAGTAGTATTGAGGGGATCACTTCATGATTTATATAAATGTCTAACCACTATGCTGTGCACTTGAAACTAATATAAAATAATATTGACTGTCAACTGTAATTGAAAAAAAGTAAATTACATTTTCTTAAAAAAAGAAAAGGTGTTATGTGGATTTTCAACTGTGCAGGTCAACGTGCCCCTAACACGTCTTTCAAGGGTCAACTGTACTTAAACTGCCAGATGAAAACTTTACTTCTAGGGTTTTCTTTAATAATTACCAAACCTCTTCAACTGGTTGGTTTTTTATCAGAGTGCTAAAACTGAATTTCTGCCAGTAACAATTTCTTGACTTTTGCCCACCTTGAAATTGTGAAAAGTTCCAGATTTCAAAGTTCACTGGAAAATCAATAATTAACTTCACTCTCGGTGACACTACCATAATGACAAGGCCACACAAAGTATATTTTTATAAGACTTAAAAATTCTGAAAACAAAGAATCACCTGTCTGCCAGGATGGAGCCCTGAATTGTGGTAAAAGAGTAGTTCCTGAAGAAGCAGCCTGAGCTGTTCGAGATTCAACAGAAGAGAGAAAGTTCATTACTGAAGATTCCTTAGTGTTAGTGGTGGCACTGTTCACACCAGTATCAAATATCCCAGAAAGACCTACATTTGAAGACAAAATATATCCCAAAGTAAAAATATTATTAACATAAAATTACATTCCTGATTGTATTTTTTTTAAAAAAATATGAAATTTGAGGTCAAAAGTTCTATAACCCTAAACTGATTTATTTTGCAATAGCAAACAAATATTAATTTGACCAAGCATAGTTTTAGTTTAAAATCTACAAAGATTCATGGAAAAGATCTTCCAACTAATTATATATAGATATTCCTTATCAATAAAAGACAAAGCTTTTAATCTCATTTTCATTTTAAAATTTCCCATGGCACTGTTAATGTCCTGCCACACATTCATAGCCCAGCACGTGAAAACTGAGTCTTCATCCTGTTCACTAAATGTACCCAGATTCATGTTATATTTCACATGAGAATTTTTACCGGATGGCTGAGGTGTGGTAGGATATCCAGGAAGCTGATGAGAGGCTGCAAAAGTCTGTCTGTGAAGGAGATTTGTTTCAGAGAGTGAGGGATGTCCTTCTTCATAGCTTAAACTAGAGGATAATAAAAATAAGTGACCGAAAAACATATCACCCAAAGCATATGATCAAAACATTTATAGAAAAAAAAATTCTAGGAGAACAATGATCAAAAGTAGCAGAAATCTTTGACTAAAACCCTGACCTATAGACAAATAAATAGATCAAACACAGTCTAACAATACTATCAAAATAGGGAAAATATATTGAAAATATATTAGGAAGAAAAATAATAAATAGTATTTTCCTTATTTCAACTTTTACCATCCAGGAGAGGTAAAATATGTTACAGTGGGAAGAGCAATATCCTGGAAAACAGGAGAGCTGAATTCATTGTCCAAGCTTAACTACTGGTGTGATTTCAATAACTGACTCAACTCCTGTCAAACTAATTTCCTGATCTGTATGAATAAAAGGCAAGATCACCTCTAAGGTCCCTCTAATTCTAACATTCTATGGAATATAACTCAAAAAAATCAATCATTAATACTATTTCCCAAAAGTTCACCTAGAAAATTTCAAGCTTGTACATTTTGAGAGCCATTCAGAACAAGATGTTTTCTTCCCTTGATTTTTATTTCAAATATTTTAAACCCAGAGAAGCCTAAAATAGTACAAGGAATAACCCATACACACCTGTCATGTAAGATTCAACACTTGTAAACATTTTGTTACATGTTTTATCTTTCTCTATACACACATTTTTTTTTTTTTTAACTAAACCACTTGAAAATAGCTTGTAGACATCATTACACTACATCCTTAATTCCTTCAACTGTATCCCCAAAGGACAGGATATTCTCCCATACAACCAATTATTAGACTTGAAGAACCTTAACATTAAGTCAATAATAGCATGTGCCTTAGCCGGGTAGCTCAGTTGGTTAGTGTTGTCCCAATACGCCAAGGTTGTGAGTGCAATCTCCAGTTAGGGTACATACAAGAAGCAACCTGAATGCATAAATAAGCGGAACAAGTCAACATCTGTCTGTCTGACTGTCTCTCTTTTCTGCTCTTCCTCTCCCTCTAAAATCAATAAAGTAAAAAAAAAAAAATTTTTTTAAATAACATGCAATACAGATGTCATAGTCCAATTCCTCTGATTATCATGGAATTTTTAAGTTTTCTCAATATCAGACCCAATCAAATTCAAGAATTGCATTTGGTTCTGTCTCTTTAAATTTAGAACAGTGCCCTCACCTTGCCCTTAATCCCAGATCCCCTTTGTCTTAATTTTATGACATGGACTTCTTGCATTATAGACTATCCCAAATTCTGGATTGGTCTGATTGTTACATAATGAGCAGTAGTGATGTTTTGAACTTATCGCATAACATGATGCATGTGAAGTCAGTTTGTGTCATTATGGGTGATGCTAAACTGGAAGATACTGTCGGATCTCTCCATGCAATTTTTTCTTCTTGGAAATTAATATGCAATTTTGAGGTATTATTTTAATATTGTGTAAATACCTTGATCCCAAAAGCCAATGATTTTAGATATCATTCACTCAAGATCTAAATTCAATTTTTGCACTGGAGATTGGAAATGGTAGGTTTCTAATTATATCACTATTTCAAAATCTAAAAGCATGCTTCTTTAAAATAAAAGTGAGCTTCCCCTCCCTTTTCTCTCTTATGTGTGTACTATATTTTTATGTATTTTAAATGTTTTTCAGGTATGTATATATATTATTCTGGCTACTTTAAAGATATATTACTGTACACTCTTGATGTTCACTTTGCCCCTTTGGTCCTGTCTTCTTTTGATATGTCCTCCTTGGTGCTCAAGCATGTTCTTCTAGCACAAGATGTTTCAGGCTCACCTTTTTATTTTCTCTGTACCAGACCCGAAATCAACCATTTCTACCAACCCTTTTTTGGGGAATGGCATTTAGAAACTGAGTTCTGGGTGGAAGGTATGTTCAGTGCCTGAGGTGTTATTCATTGCTTCCAGGCCCTTTTGGTGGATGAAGCTAGGAAAATACTTGTCTTTTTAAATACAGTAGTTCATACTGACAACTCTAATTCAAATCCAATATAATATTCCTCATCTTCTCTCATTTCACATGTGTATCTCCCGTTTCCTAAAGGTTGGAGTCCTAGGTCATAACTACTTCAATATTATTTACTCATTAGCTCTATTTGAAAATACTATAATGCAACCTCTACCAAAAACAAATCTACTAAGTAAAGGTCAGTATTCACAGTGCTTTCTGTCCCAAGATTATATCCCACTAAATGTGTACAGTTAGAACACTAACTTAAAAGTAATGTATTACCCTGGCTGGTGTGGCTGTATGGATTGAGTGCCAGCCTGAAAACCAGAGAATTGGTTCAATTCCCAGTTAGGCACATGTCTGGGTTGTGAGCCAGGTCCCTAACTGTGTGCACACGAGGCAACCACACATTAACGTTTCTCTCCATCTTTTTCCCTTCCTTCCCCTCTCTCTAAATATGTTAAAATCTTCAAAAAAAAAAGAGAAAAAGTAATATATTATTGTTATGGCTACATTATTAATTAGATAAAGGAATTAGATTTAGTTTGAAGATTTAATTTTAGGATTTTAAAATCTTTTTAAACTTTAAAAATAAATTTAAGGTATAATTTATATACAATAAAGTACACCCCTTTTAAGTGTGTAGTTTAAGTGTCTGTCTCTCTAAAATGTAAATGTATGTGTAGATAAAATGTATACACCAGCATAATCACAATACCTACCAACTTGCAGAACATTTCCATCACAACGGGAGGTTTCTCATGCCCCTTTTCAGTCATTATCTTTTTCATCTCATCCCCAGAAAGCCACTAAGTCTAATGTCACTGAAATTTAGACTTGTCTGGTCTAGAATTTCATATAAATAGAATAATAGTCCATACCTTTTTTGTGTCTGGCTCTTTTCATTTAGCATGTTTTTGAGATAAATCCATGTTGTTGTATACATTCGCAGTTCACTCCTTTTCAATGAATTGTATGAATATGTCACATGTTTACCTAGTCACCTGGTGGACATTGGGGTTGTTTTCAGTTAGGGGATACTATGAATAAACCTGCTGTGAATTTGTATACAAGTCTTTTGTGGACATACGTTTTCACTTCTCTAAATTAAATATTTGGAGTGGAATTACTAGGTGAGAAAATAGGTGCATGTACTATTTTAATTACCAACAATAAAAGAACATTTCATTGTTGCTTTATATCCTTGTGACCATTTGATCTTTTTCAGTCTTCTTAATTTATTCATTCTATGAAGATACAGTAGTGTCTCAATGTGGTTTAATTTGTATTTCCCTAATAACAAATGATGAGAAAAATCTTTTTGTATGTTTGTAAACTATTCTTTTAGCTTCTCTTACGATGTTTGTTCAAATTGTTTGCCATTAAAAAAAAAAAAACACCACGTGTGGCCCTGGCCTGATGGTTCAGTGGGTTGGAGTGTCATCCAGTAGACCAAAAGGTCCCAGGTTCAACTGCCAGTTGAGGCGTGTACAAGGAGGTAGCCAATCAGTGTTTCTCTCACACAGATGTCTGTCTGTCTCTCTCTCTAAAAGCAATGAAAAAAGTGTCTTTGGGTGAGAATTTAAAAAGTTTTTTTCCCCTGGAAAAAAATGCCTCAAGACATGGCCTGTTTCTCATCCCCATATCTGAACCACTGTAAAAATCTCCTTTGAATAAATGTGCATTTATTTAATATAGGACCATGGTGACATAGCTCTCCCAACCCCCAAGGCCTGGAAGGATGGTGGGGAGAGAAGATTTTTTCTATCCTCCTACATAATCCAAACATTACAGGAGCTAAGGTCTAGAGAAGAGGAAGGAGCCAGGGGATGAATCACAAATGCTTCAAGCTTCTTCCTAGCCTACCATAAAACTTTAATCTTCCATTTTCTTCCCATATACTCAAAAGTGGGGTATGGACTCAATCTTGGTAAGAAGGGTCAGAAATTTGTATGGGGAAGTATCTTCCTTCAGGAGCTGGCACTTAAAATCTTTTTTTAAAAATTGACATTTTCCTGAGAAATAAAACAAACCAATAGAGATTCAGTTACCACTTTTTACCTTCTTTAAGTCTGAACATTCTTTCCCTAAACATTCTTAATTTTAATCTAATTTGTTTAATAAAGAAAATTAAGTTTTAAGGCAGATGAGAAAGCTGACAGAAAAATCATTTACAATGGCCATTTCTGCAATGAAGATGGTAAATGATCCTTAAAAAAAAAAATGCGCCCTGACTGGTGTGGTTCAGTGGATTGGGAGTTGCAAACTGAAAGGTCGGTGGTTTGATTCCTGGTCAGGGCACATGCCTGGGTTGTGGGTCTGGTCACCAGTTGGGGTGCAAGCAGGAGGCAAGCAATGGATACTTCTTTCACACACTGATGTTTCTCCCCCTCTCTTTGTCCCTCCTTCCCCCCTCTCTAAAAATAAATAAATCTTTTTTTAAAAAAAGAAAAATGCTTTTGAATATATTAAGAGTAAGTTATCTTATGGTTTATATCCAGATAGCAATAAGATATACAAATTCTGCTCCTTGCATAGCATACTCTTATGTTCATAATACTTAAGAAATAAATCATGTTCCAAGTTTAAAAATCAATTAGCAGAAGTTCCATGAAATATGTTAAATCCCAGGAAACAAGCCACAACTTGCACAGAAGTCATTAAGTTATTTAAGCACTGAATGAATGATTTTGCCTTTAGTCATATCACTCTCTTCTCTGTGTTAAAGAATTTGGCCACCGGAAAAAATATATTCTAATATAATAAAAACAGAATTCTCTTTATGCTTTGAAAATATTGTTTTATTCTTACATATATAAACTTTTCATAGTTAAGAAGGAATAAGAACCCTAGATTAGAAATCAGGAGGCTTAGATTCCAGTCCTGATTCTGCAAGCAACGTGTTTCAAGACTTTTAGCAAAGCACATATCTTGTATAGTGCCAGTGTTCCTATTTATGAAGTCTAATGTTCTTTGTATTTCTAGTATTCTGAGTTAAGCTAAATATTTTTATTTC